TATGTGAATGTTTCTGTTCAGTGACCTGAGACGACTTCTGTTGTGACTTAGCAACAACAGCGTATATAAATAAACTGAAATGAGTGAACTTATATGAATCATGTTTTTTCTCCTATTGAAAGCAGAATTACTCAAGTTTGAAAAATTTAATCTGAATTGGAAATTGGTACAATTTTAAAGTAAGTATATTATTATAATATCCACCACTGTGGTGGAAGAAGCACTTGTCATGGCTAACTTTTTCTATTTCTAACTTAGTTTTTTCCACTTTTACAGTCCTACAGCTCTGTCGCTCACAAGAAATTCTGCTGGATGAATCATTCAAACAGCTCAAACTTTTGTTGATCTTATCAAAGTTCTTGAATCTATTCTATGAAGAGATAATTTAACACCATGAAGATGTACATCTCTGATCAAAACTTTGTGTTGTGTAAACAAGCCAGTCATCTGCAGTTCATGTGAGGTTTACTTTTGCAGCAGACGTCCACACAGACTTCTCTGGGAAGAGTCAGGAAGCTCGCTTGGGAGTGACCCAACATTCCTCAAACACTTTCAAATATTCAGGGAGGTGCAGCAGTACAGGACATGATGTAATGAGGTGTAATTACAACAAGTTGAAATGGACCGCTCTTATCTCACACCCTAAAGCGAGGGCAGGGTCAAACAATCCATAACCAAGAACGTGCAAACATATACTCAGTCTAATTCAGAAACACTTTGTTGTCTTTGTTTCAAACAATAACAGCACGGTGAGCACTTGGACAACAATAATGGCACGACACATTGATGAAGGTGTTCACAGGGCGTCAGGGTGTTCACTTTGGTTTTGTTTGCTTAAAACAGAGGAACGGCCCTGACACGTGATCTCACGGGGCCTGCTCTACAAGTTTCACTTGTTGGCTGCTGCCAGCTCTCGTCTTTCACTTACAATGATTAACAAATTGTTTAGACTGTGAGAAACACCAGGATGCAGGCACCCAATTACATTAAATAGACCATTTCCATCTAACTTTAGTCAGTATTAAACTTGCAAACACCTGATAAATAAAAATGATCTCACAGACGAGATTAATTCAAAGTCGCAGAAGCAAATCCTCACGTTGGGTAAATATTCTGAACGTCATATGGCAGGAAAGAAACCCATGAATAGAAATGTTCTTTGTTGAGACAACAAATAGGGAGCGTCATGTGTCCAGACACATGACGCTCCCTCTAAATAACTGGCTGCATGAAGTGGAACCGATTCATGACCTCATAATATATCAGCAGGCAGCTACAAAATCCTTTGTGATACCTCAGTACAATGATCAAGGTTACTAGGTGAAAACACTGATCAAACTGTCTGTCAGTTCAATATTACTGTGTGTGTTTTCTCCAGATATGAAGCCAACATTTGCATAAAGCAAAATACAAAAACCTATCCTCAAAAATATATAAACATTTATTCTAAACTCACCCATAAAGAGTTAGCAATGGCCCCGTTTGGAAGCTTGCATCACATTACAAGGGTGTACATCACTTATGCTGGATGATCAAACCTGGTATGTCATCAACATGACTAGTTAGCTAACTGGGTTGTCAAACTGAAGGGCTTCTTTAAGAACTGAAGTTAAACAAAAAGCTAAAAACTACATGGAACTGTGCAGCTATACTCTGAATATTGAGCTCCATCAAGATAACAGACATGAGTTTCATGTAGGAAATTACATCCTGTATAATCCTGCTGACATGTTGCAGAATAATCCAAACACTGAATTTATTAATCATATTGAACATTTTACATTGTTTGTTCTATATCACTGCAACTTTTACCTAAACTTTTGAGCTTTAACCATGAATCATATATCATAACACAGAGTAGGTACTGTGAATGTATAAATATCATTTTGGCTTCTTATAAAAACTGGTTTAAGAGAAGCACAATTATTTTTTTTTATTTACTTGTGACTGGATTTAGGAAACGTTAGGCTTGACTGGTTCCTGTTTAATCCAAACCCCATAATTAGATTTTTGTTGTCTTCAGTCCATCTATGAAACCCTTATAGCTAAGCTGTAATACAAAATTTGATTTTTGTTTTTTCTTGTTTGTGAATGTTGCATTAGTTAGCAGCTAGTTTTCACCAGGAATGGCTCATCTTCAGAGTGGAAGTTTCTACAGAGAGGCGACAACTCAAAGTTAACAACTTGTACCATGAAGTCAGAGGAAGCACAAGAGGGAAGAAGCTGCGAAAGGAAAGAAGAAGAAACACATAACGAGGTATGTCTCAGACACTTATTTTATAGTAACTAGTTCCGTGGACACGGGACATATGCAGTTAGTGCTCTTATATGGTGGTAAGTGCAAAAGATAATCATGTTAAAGGGCTATATTTATAGACTTATTTATAATCTATGATCTGATTGATAAATAAATTGTATAATAATTCTTCTTTTACTAGGTTTTATTGGTACAAATACATCTACTCATGAACTTGGAGGATTATTATTTACACTGAATGTGTGTGCGCGTATATAGGAGGGAGTGGTGGTGCAGAGGTTAGAGACGGTGGGCCTGTGATTGGAGGATCGCTGGTTCAACTCCCCTCCTGGTACGGACAACATCAAAATGTGGGTGGGATTGGTGAAGCACCCACACCTGCCCTCATTTGCCACACTCTGGGCCCTTGAGCAAGGCCTGTAAACCCCCGGGCACCTTAAATAGCAGCTCTCTGCTCCACACAGAGGGCTGCGGTAGCTCAGTGGTCTGTGGTTGCGTCAGGAAGGGCACCGGCGTAAAAATAATTGCCATGTCTTAGTGTGACTTTAGTTCGCTGTGGTGACCCCTGACAAAGAGAGCAGTCGAAAGAAGAAAAAAAAAGTGTGTGCATGTATATATATATATGCACACACGCATGCACACACACGCACACACCAATGCAAATTGTATGCTCCCTCAAAACTTGCAACATCTGTGGCATTGTGCTGCGTGACAAAACTGCCCATTTTAGAGTGATCTTTTATTGTGGTCAGCCTAAGGCACACCTGTGCAATAACCATTCTGTCTAAATCGGCATCTTGATGTGCTACACCTGTGAGATGGATGGATGATCTCGGCAAATGTAAAGTGCTCACTAACACAGACTTGCACAAACTTGTGAACAATATTTGCGAGAGAAAAGGCCTTTTGTGTACAAAGAAAAAGTCAAGAAACACTTTTCACAAAAAAAGATAAGTCAGGTCATCTGAACAGATTCTTCTTAGAAAACTGAAAATTTTAATTAAATAACTAAAGGAACAGTTTTTTTTTCTTGCTACCAAGATAATGACAATGTTCTATTTATTGCTGTTTCTGCATAGAGTACGAGTTTAAAGCTAGGATTTCAGCCTGAATATGACCTCATGTGTTAGAGAGAACTGGAAGGATACCTTTCAGCAGGAAAACAAAGTATTGAATGTCACACCTCGTGTCAGCGCTACAGGGAAACAGGGTAGTAATCTAACACCACAGACTTCAAGGAAAGAACAGCAGCACCCAATACCCTGTGTGCGTTCAGACTCTTAAAGGAGACAGAGGTAGGACGAACGAAGGAGCCCAGGACTGGGAAGGAAACAGCAAGAAATGAACTTTGTCATGAAGCTGTAAAAAGAACCTGAGCAAACATTCAATAAAAGTTCAGATCAGATGCCAACATAACCAAACAAATGAGGTAATTGCAGAACCGTAGTGAGGCAGCGTTGGGTTGAGCGATTACGGAGAGAGCTCACTCAGTTCTTCCAACGTTAAAGTTACAAACTGAGTGTTTTTGGCTCTTTAAGTATGAAAGGTTCACTTAGGAATACAAAGAGGGTGTGTTGACCTAAATCAACACTAAAGCAATGTTTTTATTTTGGTTCTTCTGCTGCGTCAAACCACAAATATTCTGATTTATGAGAAACCAATCTGGGTGTGAACAGTTTAATAACCCCGAGGAATGTGTGGGATTATCCACAGCACAGTGAAAGGAACATTTCCAGGTTAGGCCTCCGTCATCAAGCTGCCGGTGGGAACGCTGGCTTCAGACCAGTTAGTGATGTAGGAGTGTCAGACAAACGTTTGGGCCGGTGCAATGAGAACAGACAATTACTGTTTTCAGAACAACCACAAAACAGTACGAGGAAGAAGGTGTGAGAAGTTCCACTAAAACGAAAAAGGGTGACATGTTATTATTCATTTAGCAGTTTATGTCCAAAAATATGAAAGGTAGACACAGTTTGAGGCAACAGATAAGACATTTTCTGTTCTGAGCCACAGTTTTAAACCAAAGTAGAATAAATGATGATGTGATAAAACTCTCTATGCCTCATTTATGTCAAAAAATTATATTAACCAGCTTTGAAACATTCAGAAATCCTCAGCAACAAAAGCAACTTTTAGAAAACTCAGTTAAAATGATTTTCTGTGCCGACGTAAAATATGGCTCCTACTCTAACGCCACTATGTTCCTCTAAAATTATATTTTAAAGATTTCAGTACTGTTCATTTGTACAAACTACACTGAAAGCAAAAACAGCTTTGACGTTTGTGATTTATGAATGTGCTGAACTTTAACTTGAAGCACCTTTTGTCAGTGGCATTGTTTACCTCGCACAATAGAATGCTTCTAAAAAATAAGAAGCCAGTTCTTGCTTTTTATTGCAGTAATGGTGCTGTAAATAACAAGGATAACTTGTTTATTTTAAAGGATAACTCAGATCAATGCACTGACAGGTTATTAAGATAGATGTCTGAAAACGACACAAAAAAGGTGATGTCATTGAAAGAAAGTTAAAAGTTGCACCAAAATCTATTCAGTTCAGTTTATTTCTATAGCGCCAAGTCGCAACAGAAGTCGTCTGAGGACACTGAACAGAAACAAACATTCATATAAAAGTAAGTTAACATTATTTATCTGAGGAGCAGACTGCTTTGAGTTTAACTCCATCACGGACTCTCATCTTGAGCATGAAGGCGACAGTGGAAAGGAAAAACTCCCTCATGAGGAAGAAACCTTTAGCAGAACCAGACTCAGGATAAGAGGCTTCGACTGGCTGAGTTTGAGAGGAACAGATACACAATGGCAGGCCGAGAATCATAAGATAAGATAGAAATAGTATCAAATGAAAACTATTCAATTTTAACAATTCATTTAAGGAAATTAGGTCAATTTGTCCTCTAGTAGTTTAAGCCTATGACAACATAACAAGCCAACCCTAACTATAGGATTTATCAAAAAGGAAAGTCTTAAGTCCAGTCTTAAAACTGGACAATGTGTCAACCTTACAGACAGAAACTAGAAGTTGTTTCCACAAGAGAGGAGCCTGAAAACTGAAAGATCTGCCTCCTATTCTGCTTTTGCAAACTCTGGGAACCACAAGTAAACCTGCAGTCTGAGAGCGAAGTGCTCTGTTAGGAAAATATGGAACAATAGAGCTGTAATATAAGATGGAGCTAGGTTGTTGAGGGCTTTGTAGGTTAGAAGTAAGATTTTGAATTCAATTCTGGATTTGACAGGGAGCCAGTTATTCAGGACAGTAGCCATTCTGGATGACGTCATTTTATAAGAACTGTTGTTTTAAGCAGAAATACAGAAAACAAGTGGAAAATCTTGGGTATGTGTAGGTGATGCTGCACTGTTTTCCTTCTCGTTACTTACAAATAGTGATCAGGACAAGAAGCAGTGCAGCTGGAGTGACTTACTCGGTTTTCTTGCGGGACTTGTTGTCGTACAGCTCCACCAGGTTCACCACAGCCTGGCCCAGGAACTTGTCCAGGCCCACCTGGGCCCGGTGCATGACGATGACGTACAGCGTGCACCGCTCGGCGTTCCCCGGGTGGAAGAGCGGCAGGTCGAACGAAGCCTCCTCCTTCCACACCGGGGCCACGCTTTTCTCGGCCACGCACGTAGAAAACTTGTCTTTGGCCACCTGGATGATGGCGTAGGCGTCGTTGGTGCCATTCTTGCCCTTGACCCGCAGGTTCCGAGCCTGATGCACCGTGACCAGGGCACTCGTCGGGAACGACTGCTGGCTCTGGTCGAGCAGAGACATCGTCCAAGTCCGTAAAGAGTAACCAGAAAAGTTGATCCGAGCTGCCCTGTTAACGATGGTTGTGATGTCAACCTTTCCTTGACGATGTTTTCCACCTTCGGCGTCCTCGGCTTGCTTAACCAGCGTTCAAGGAAGCTCACTTTAACGTCAAATTACCCTTTAACCCCCTTAAATAACTCGGGTTTAGTTAAAAAAAACGGTTAAATAACAATAAAAGTGCTAGCCTTGGTAGTCCGCCCAGGACATGACTACAGTGTGATAATTCTTATCAAGAAGCTTTAACACAACTGCCCTGTTGTTGCGCCTTCCTGGAGTTTTACAGTTCACTTCCCTGAAGTTACGAGTTCCCACCCATACTCTGCATTGAGCCCGCTGATTGGTTGGTAATTGTGTCAGTTTTCTAAAGCCTGACAGTGATTGGATAATAAAGTTTAAGGGCGGTGATAAACGCGTACCGTTAATTTGTCCTGTCTGAACCGCTCATAAATTATGGGTAAAGGACTACACGAGAGGTCTGCAACCTTTTAAATCAAAAGAGCCATTTCTACCCTTCATTTACTAAACAAAATGTGTCTGGAGCCGCAAAATCTGCTGCAGCGATCATCAACTGGTGGCTCATGGGCCACTTCAAATTTGTATGAGGGTTGTTTTGTTTTGTTTTTTCAGCCAGCGGGGGTGACTTTATAAAACAAAAATTATATAATGAATTTCAACATTAATAATTTTACTGTTTAGGGCTTAAAAAAGACCACATTCATGTAAACAAGAGGAAAAAAATACACATTTCATACTAATTTTAGCTAAACGAATTTAACCCGGAACTTTGCAGGTTTATGTGAGTCTTCCTTTCAATTTTAGAAAAATAAAAATAAGTATGTATCCCACTTTAAAATAATAAGGCATAAATGTAGTCTGTCTAAATATTGGGCCATTTTGTTGGATATGTAATTGTGACATTAAAATTTTAAATTAAAAACAAATTTTATATTTACCGGTACTTTAATTTTAATTAGATCAATCAATCAATCAATCAATCAATCACCATATTTCTTCTAGGCAGCTTGTCCTAAAAGGTATTCCAAAGAATTTCTGGTGAATTTGAGAGAAAGATCCTACTGTAAGGCTGGAAGTTGGATAAATGAAGTAGCTGAAGCTAATCAAGATAATTTTCTCCTTGTTTTAGTAATTTATTTTAAACATTAGCAGAAAAACTGCTAAATCTTGCCATTTCTCTTTACTGTGGGTATAAAAACCAATGAATTTACATTTTGCATTATGTTTGGTCAAAGCTTCAAGCAGCCGCAGACCAAGCACCAAAGAGCCGCATACGGCCCCAGAGCCGCAGATCCCAGACCCCTGGACTACACATAAATATAATTAGTAGTATAGTGAGTAAAGTGACATGATTTGTAAACCATTAAAATATGTCCTGAACATTTTCTTACATTAATTCAAAATTGACTCAACTTTTTGGAGTAAAACGAATAAGAAATATCATTGTTGGAGTTACTTATGGATGGATGGATGGATGGATGGATGGATGGATGGATGGATGGATGGATGGATGGATGGATGGATGGATATAGATAGATAGATAGATAGATAGATAGATAGATAGATAGATAGATAGATAGATAGATAGATAGATAGATAGATAGATAGATAGATAGATAGATAGATAGATAGATAG